CTCCATATTTCTTGCTGCGAAGCATTTTTCCCGTATCTGAAGACTTACTTGTGGCTGCGAATGTAAAATGCAATGTTTCTAGTATCTTGCTGCATTCATGCTGAAAATGTGCACAGCTGACTCGATTGCCAGAAACTGTTCTTAATTTTCGCTCATTTTATTCGATTTGCGTATATCAACATTTAGCATACATTTATCCACTATTTAACTCCGCCGGTGTTCGTTCCATGAGAATTAGAAACCATGGCAAGATCTCTGCAAAACCTTAGAGACCTGTCCTCTCATTGCACGCCCGCCATCGAAAAATATACAGGCTCGGTGGCCACCCAGCCAAGTTACCAAGGGCCGTGCAGACTACTGGGGAACTGAGGCAGGCTACAAAAAGTCAGCGATTAGAACCTCCTCATCGCCCTCTGGCAGCTAGCCGCATAGCAGCATAACAATCGCTGCCGAAGATTGACGAAACGAAAAGAGAATTACCAATACGCAACGGAGTCGCTACCCGTTCTGAACGGAGAAGACAGACGGTGCGATACCACTATAACACGTGAAAAATGGCTCCACGGAAACAAAACTCCAGCGGCAGGTTACAATCGGAAATTGGAGCATACAATCACCCAGGGGGAAAGAACAGGAGCTAGTTGATGAGGCCGCAAGATATTAACTCGGCGTAGTTGGATTCTCGTTAATGGAACGCAAAGGCTCAGGAATTCTGAACCTCTGCAGTTGGAAGCCATTCTACTCAGGTGACGAAATCACGACGGACCCTCAGGCCGGTGTTAGTGTTCTGGTAGAACTCGACTGACAAAATCAGTTAATGGAAGCCTGCCTTCGGTACAGTGGTAACACTCTGACTGAAGCTACAACAGCCAAAGCCGCTGTCCTTGTTACGGGCATATGCATCAAAATTGAGGAAAGATGAGCCAATCCTTTACAAAGAAGACGAATTTTCGATTACAGAGTGCCTCATTCAAATCGGCGCTATTAATCTTCATGAAGGAACAGAACCTCAAAAGCGGAAAGGTGTGATTGAAAAAAACGGCCCTAGCGACCTCAACAAAAACGGCAATTGTTGCGGTTTTGTGCAAACAACGAACTATTATGAACACTTTCTTCGAGCATCGAAGAGTGCATCAGTGTACGTGCTACCGGGAGGCCTGTGCACAGAAGTCGATGTTCGATTTGATAATCTATCGTCTGATTTAAGACGCTCAGTAATGGATGTTCGCGATAAAAAAGACGCACAGCTATCAACCGATCACCACCTTGTTGATCGCACGCTGCGCTGTAAAAAATAGAGTACCATACAAAGATCTGGTGGCAGAAGCAACCGGAGATTCAAATGGGAAACATCATCCTCGATGGACACGAGAGCGAATCGAGTGACAGTTCTTTAAGAGTGGCTTATCAGGGCTGCTGCTGAATGCTGC